TGTGAACCAACTTTATACCTTGATTCAAGTAGTGTAGATTCAATATGAATTGGACCTTGGTCATTTGGGTCTTTTGCCGGTCTAGAATAATTACTAAGCATTAACAAGTCTTTTTACCTGTCATTCTATCAGTAATAGATCTGGAAACATATCGATATGTTATTCCTAACATTTCTCAAGAATAAAATAACATTGAGTTTCTTCCTTAAGCACCACTTATAGTTCAAGCTGAACAACCTTAAGAGTAACTATTATTAATAAGGTCCATTAGAGCGAGGAAAAATGATATTCTAGATGATTATGTTGTATTTCTTTAGAAATGCGAGGATGACATTGGCTTGACTGAGAAGGATCTTATCAACTTTCATCAAGCTATGCAGAGTCTTTCCTCTCTAAAGTGGATTGATTCCATGAAACATAAGATGAAATCAATGGTTGACAATGATGTTTGGGATATCAAAAAATTACCTGAAAAAAAGAAACCCGTTGACTGTAAATTGATATTCAAAACTAAAAGGGATTCAAAGGATAATGTTGAAAGATGTAAAGCTCGTCTTATAACCAAAGATTTACTCAAAAGAAAGACATTGATTATAAATATATTTCTATCTAGTTTTATCTAAAGACTCTTCAGGATCATAATGGTCTCAATGGCTCATTTTGACTTGGAGTTGCATCAAGTGGATGTAAACATTGAAGAAATTATATATATGGTGTAACTAGAAAATTATGTCGAGAGACACAAAATATATGGTTTACAAACTTAAGATACTCATATATGGCCTTAAGCATGCTTCCCCTCAATGGTATTTCAAATTTCATCAAGTCATATCCTTTTATGGTTTTGAGGCTAATCTAGTTAATGTTAGTGTATACCATAAGTCTAGTGGGAGTAAATTTATTTTCTTGGTATTATATGTATATGATATTCTTTTTGAAAGAAACGATATAGACTTATTACACAAAATCAAGAAATTTCTCACGAAGAATTTTAATTTGAAAGATCTTGGGGACAACTCATTTTTCTTAGGAATACAAATACTTATAGATCTATCTCAAGGTAACTTAGGATTATCACATAAGAGCTATATTGAAACAATTTTGGATAGATTCTCCACGATAATAGGAGACACACCTGTTGTTAGAGGAGATAAATTTAGTTTAAAACAATTTCCTGTTATCGATCATGAAAAGAAAGAAATGCATAATATTTATTACGCTTCAGTTGCAGGGAGTATCATTTGTGCTCAAGTTTGCACTCGCTCTGATTTAACTTTCACTGTAGAATTTCTTGGAAAATATATGAGTAACCCTGGTATTTAACATTGAACAATAGTAAATCATGTTTTAAGTTATCTGAAGATAATTAGAGATCTTGTGCTCGCTTATCAGAAGTCATATTTTCAGACAACAAACGGTCCACATCTGGTTATATCTTCTTCTTAGATGAAGAAAACATCTCCTAGAAATTTGCAAACAAACTTTAGTGGTTTCTTCCACTATGACAACAGAGTTTGTGGCTCACGTTGTGGCATCAAATCATGCAACATGGATATAGAGCTTTGTCATAGACCTACACGTCAATAAGAGCATCCAGAGGCCTTTGAAGATTTGACAATAATGCAATTGTACTTTACTCAAACAACATGAGTGCTACAAAGTCAAAATAATTAATATCAAGTATCTTGTTGTAAAAGAAAAATTCTAGGTGAAACAAACTTTGATAAAACATGTAAGGACATACTTAATGCTAGCTGACTCACTTAACACAGACTTAACGCATAAGACTTTTCATGGACATATTGTACACATAAGTCACAGTTTTAAGATTAACTTAGATTAGTGAGACTCTTACCTCTTTTTTATAACAATCTTTGTATTATTTGAATTTATACATAAATAAAATTTAAGATTTTTTTTATTATTATAGCTTTTTTTTTTTGTTTATGCAAATATTTCATTTTAAATTGCACTTATTAAAGATTTTAGTTGAACCAATTTGAAATAGACATAATATAAATGTCACATTGGAAGAAAATTTCAGTCATCCATATCGAACTATGTCACCAAATGCATTAAAACGCTGGTCGTCGAGATTCCATCACCTTATGCAATAGTTACGAGATCGCGATAGTTCCATTATTGATGTATAAGATAAACCGGATTGTGAAAGAGAAATTCAAAGATAAATAGCATTAAATATATATCTATAGAATTATGATACGAAAATTATGATATATTTCTTAAATGAGAGATTGTTGAAATAACTTATTAAATATTTTATTTAATAAAATATTCAATAATATTACGTGAGCTTATATATTTAAATTAATTAATTTAGTAATAAAATTGTGTTTTGATAATTTATTTATTTAGTTAATTAATACGTGACAAAATATGATTGGATGTTTGATGACAAAATTCTAATGAACTTATGGTCTCCGGTACAGTAAACAATTTACTCTTTTTCCATCTAAAGAGTAGATGATATCAAATCTCACAACGTTCCTGCAATTTAAAAATTGTCTCAAACTTAAGTATTTAATTTTTGGTACCTTTTGTTGCAACAAACATAGTCATGTTGGATTAACAAATAGAAAGCACCAAGATGCTCTAGTGGCTGTAATCTACTTCTAAGATGCTTTGCTTATCAATGAATCAGCACCAAAGTGCCTTTTGTTTATACTGTTTAAGCAAGGAGAAAGCAGTGGCATTGTTGCTTAGTGCTAAACCTTTTTTATTTTTGTTTCTATTTGAGATTATGTTTGTGGGGTTACCAAAAGTTGATATTTTGTATTCTTTCATTCCATATGTTGATGCTAGTGTTATTATTATGTGGCTAATAATTTTGTCTATAATTGATTTTAACATGTTTCAATCTTCCGAATAAAAATTAGTTTTGTTATGGAAATTCATCTTAATAAAAACTATAATATATAATTCTTTTATATTTATATTTAAATGAATATTTATTGTAAGCATCAAATAAGTATATATAATTGAGATTGAAGGTGAGGTTTATGAAGATGAAGTCATGCATGTCATCATGCACTAGCCCATATTGTCTCTTAGCATGATGACAGAGCAATTTAAGCTTTGTCCTTGCAACCTGTTTTAGCTTTGAATCTACCTGGGCTTTTACCTTTTGTGAATGCTAGATTCAATAACAATTATTAAAATATCTCCAACAGTGTCCACTATAATATATATTATATCATATTTCACAACTTGCAAACTCTAACCTTAAGAAATTTAATGAAACAACAACTTTTTAAGAGGTTGTGGTTAAAGTGAAAAAATGAAGGTCACTATCTATGATTTTTAGAAGAAGTAAAAGCAATTATATTCTGGTGATTATAGTCAACACAGGAATATTAGAAGGAGGAGTTGGAATTGCAAGACCAACAAGTTTCATATGATTCCAACTCCTTTTATGAAAATGATTCTTGTTTGAAAAGAACAGCTCAATTAAGTCATGATCTGTGCCTAAAGTTGTTAACTTAATTCCTTTTTAGAGGTATATAACAAATGGGATTTGATTCCATGGATGTTTACGAATGTCCAAAAGAAAATAAAATAGAATAGAGCCGTGCCAGTTTTAACATGCATTGGTTTTGCAATAATTGAAGATAATAGACCCTATAGTAATGAGAATGTAAAATTTGACAGCGATTCATTCAAAAATGTTCTAGGCCAATCGTATACCTAAAATAAAGAAACTCAATTATCAGTTCAAAGTAGCTCTACCAAAATATTGAAGGTATAATATATCCTTGTTTTGGAGCATTATATTAAATGTCCAGTCATACAACTTTCCACATTTCACGCCGAAAAATAAGGGACGTGTATAACCGCCGCTCCCACCCTTGTATATAAGGTATCATCCCACGTGAAACTTGGGATACTCTTTAAATCATATTTTCGATTATTCATCATTCTCTCTTATAGATTTATTTAGGTGTTGTAGTGTTAATCTTACATATTTACAGTGTGCCACCACATCAAAGATATGTTATACCTTATCAAAATTCTCTTTCAAATGTTGAGCCTATACATTAAGAGTATAATTAAAAACCCGGACTTCTAATTAAGTTGAATGTCAAATATTTAATTTTACTATCTTCTTGAGACATATCATGATGTTTTTCAAAGTAGTACTTTGATATAAGCCTGTTTGTGGCTAAACCCCAACAGGGGACAAGAAGTCAATAACTAGAAACAAAAGAAGCTACTGCCTCGTTTGGACGTTCATGATTGTCCCTATCATTACTACCTTGTGAAGCAATGGACACATGCACCCAATCAAGATAAAGCCTTATAACAAGGTTTTAAAAAATGGTCCCGGTCATCTAGAGGCCACATAAAAGTTTTTTGCTAATTCAATAGGCGTTGCGATTATGATTGCAGTAATTAAGTTTGTAATTTCTTTTTCCCCAACGATATCAATCTAATTATCAGCATCTTCAGAAACTAACTGATTTGTTGCAGTTCGTTTACATTAAAAAAAGCTCTAATTTTCTCTTATTATTATCACACGTATGCTTACGATGATGATGCACATAAATGAATTTTTAAGAAAAATAAAAAGCTTATGATATTGGATGATTGAAAAGAAAAGTGTCAAAACTTGGGGTCCAATAGGAAAATAATTGAGAAAATGGGACCCAGTGAAAAATAGGAAGAGAAGATGAAGTAATGAAGCCACACGAGAACGAACAACAGAGCACATGCTAAAACCCCCAAGCCACTGATCACAGATGCTCTCTCCCAACACGTGTCCTCTCCATAAACGGCAACTCAGTATCATTTCTCACACACACCCAAATCACCTTCGATTCCCTTTGACCACAAACACTCACACTAACAACAAACACAGAAATTAAAATGAGATTGCAATTTCATTTCACAAACACTACCAGAAATTATACAATTACTTATACAGTTTTTTAAGATTCAATAATAATAATAATAGTAATAAACATAAATTGAAAGTGATATTGTTATACATAGAGAGCCCCAACTTGAACAAGTCTGGGGACGAGATGACCGCCGACATGAAGAGCAACAAGCGACTCAAGTCCGCCTACACAGACCCCACCGATGAAGACAGCGGGAGAGCGGTTACGAAGAACTGAAGCAAGATGATCGTCTTCGTGAGGGAGAGAAGCGATCTCGTTGTCATCTAATTCGATGACGGTTGGATTAACACCTATGGTGGAGAGAAGCTTCTTCATGACGTGGCACATGCAGCAGGAAGATCGAGTAAAGATGATGACGGGATGTTCTGATATGAGACGTTGGATTTTAGTTTCGGCGGATTCGTCGATGTCCATGGATAAGGAAGAGGAGGAGGATGAGGTTGTGGTGGTGATCATGGTGGTGGTTGTGGTGGTGCTTCCGAGGTCGAGATGAACGGTGTCGTTTGAGTAACGGCGAAGGTCTTGCATATTATGGTTGTGATTTGAGGAGGGAGAGGGGATGATGAATTGTTGTGATGGAGAGAGTGTTGGTATTGTGGGAGATTTTATTTATAAAAATCTAAAGACGAAGACTTCGTGCTTGCTTACATCACTAAATTAGTGTTTCTTTTTCTCTTTCTATTACTTCCCCACGCGCCTTATGCAATTTCTCTCTCAATCTCTCATGTTTTTTTAAATAATAAAAAAATAAAAAAAATTATATTATTATGTATTTTAATGTGTTAGTCAAAAATTACATTTTTAAATGAATTTTAATCTTTTCTTTTACTTTTAAAATTTATTTTATAAGTTATTTTTAAAAAAACGGTTTGAAGAAAAAGTAAAATAAAATACTTTTGTTAATTTTTTTTCCAAATTGTTTTAGAAATGATAGAAAATAAAAAGTTGTCTGGAAGATTTATTTCTACAATATATTTTGAAAATTAAAATAGGGAACACTTTTGTTGTACATATTTATTTTTTTAATAATATATTTTTAAAAATAATTTTAATTTAATTAAGATATAGTTTAAAATATTTAGAAATATTTTTAATATTTTTGAATCAATTATATTTATATATGTGGAGTGGTTTCGTGATTTACTTGCAGGGTCTGTTTAAAACTAAAACAAAACTTTATATGGACATCATCTAACACAAAAGTTGTTTATATCTATAGGAATTCAAACCTGCGATTTTAAGGGGAGCGTATTATCAAAACTCAAATCTTCATCATTAGACCAACTCTTAGAATACCCGTTGTTTTGGACTGGGTCGAACCTGCTCCTTAGTCGGGCAGACCCAACCCAACACTACGGTGGGGAGGTCCAACAAGGTCCAATCCTTCCATGTCGAACACGCCTCTCAACAAGGTCCCTCAGTCGGGCAGACCACTACATGATACAGAGAGAGCTCACGCGCCTTCCCCACGTTCCCTGTGTCCCCCACGCGGGGACACATCATCAGGAAACTACCCACTTTCGAAAGAGTTAGTCAGCCCACCTTCCGAAGATCACAGACAGTTGATCTAGGGTGAAAACCACGTGTTGGTCTTCCCTACGCCACGTAAACCCAAGCAGTTATTTGTGTTGGGCTTGGAAATCCAACCCAATGCAATGTAACCGTTGGCCCTGTGTTGCGGTTAGAATCGGATGTCAAGCTATTCACTACTACAAAAATGATTTTTGGCAACGCATGAAAAGACAACACTTTTTAAAAAAGCGCTGCTAAAGAGTCAGGAAAAAAAAGAAAAAAAATAGCTGACTTTAGACAGCACGTTTAGAAAAGCGTTGCTAAAGGTGGGCGTGATTATTAACAATAGAAATCACTTTATAAAAAGTGCTGCTAAAAGTAGGCCCTACGAAAGCGCTGCTATAGGGATGACCTATGAGCGCGCTTTCAGAAAGCGCTGCTATAGGGGGTACAAAAGACAGCGCTTTTATAAAAGCACTGCTATAGGTCCTGCCTTAGGCAGACCTTAGAGAGCGCTTTTTAGAAAGCGCTGTTATAGGGGGTACAAAAGACAGCGCTTTTATAAAAGCGCTGCTATAGGTCATGCCTTAGGCATACCTTAGAGAGCGCTGCTAAAGGCCATGCAAAAGCGCAACTATAGGTTTAAGTGGCATAAATTTAAAAAAACCCAGAAAATTTCATAAACAGAAACAATCGTGGTTTTTGGCATTCTTTTACACTCGCGACTAAACCCTACTCACCGTCGACCACTTCCGTCCATTGCATCCGTCTGACCGCCTCCGTCCGTCGCCGTCCTCCGTTTCCTTCCGCCGTGTTCTACATTTCCACCTCCGTCCGTCCATTTTGACCGTCTGTCTTCGTCCTCCACCTCCTCTGTCACGAATTTTACAGGTTTGCTTTGAATCTCAAACCGTCCTCTGCCACATTGTTGTTGTTCTTCTTCTAATGTGTAGTCTGTACAATACATTGTTGTTGCTATGTGCATTGTTGAACGCCTCTGAGTTGGAGATAGTAAAGTAGAGAGTAGAGTAGAGAGGTAGTCGTAGAGAGAGAGAGAGAGAAAATCAGAGAGATTGAGAGATTTCTAGAATGTGATTGTTGATGAATAATAAAGAGTGTTTCAAGTTAGGGCAGTTGTGACTGTTAATGGATTCCATGTAGAAATTTATGAAAATGGAATGTTGTTGTTGTTAGTGTTGTTGGAAAATGTTAAAATGATAATGTTGATGGATTCCATGTAGAAATTTGTTAGAGAGTTAACAAAGTTAGAAATTCTATTAAAGTTAGTTGTTAGGATGCAATTAAATTGAATTAGAGGTTAGTGAAGTATTAGTTGTGAAAATGGAATGTTGTTGTTGTTAGTGATGTTGGAAAATGTTAAAATGATAATGTTGATGGATTCCATGTAGAAATTTTTTAGAGAGCTAACAAAGTTAGAAATTTTATTAAAGTTAGTTGTTAGGATGCAATTAAATTGAATTAGAGGTTAGTGAAGTATTAGTTGTGAAAATGGAATGTTGTTGTTGTTAGTGTTGTTGGAAAATGTTAAAATGATAATGTTGATGGATTCCATGTAGAAATTTGTTAGAGAGTTAAAAAAAGTTAGAAATTCTATTAAAGTTAGTTGTTAGGATGCAATTAAATTGAATTACAGGTTAGTGAAGTATTAGTTGTGAAAATGGAATGTTATTGTTGTTAGTGTTGTTGGAAAATGTTAAAATGATAATGTTGATGGATTCCATGTAGAAATTTGTTAGAGAGCTAAAAAAGTTAGAAATTCTATTAAAGTTAGTTGTTAGGATGCAATTAAATTGAATTAGAGGTTAGTGAAGTATTAGTTGTGAAAATGGAATGTTGTCGTTGTTAGTGTTGTTGTTGATGTTAATGGTAATGTTGTTGTTGATGTTGTTAGTGTTGATGTTAATGATGTTGATGTTGTTGATGAAAGTAAATGAATTATTTATATTTGTTAATTTTGATCGTTTTCAAGAATTATTTAATGTTAATAATGTTATTAATTTTGTCTGTTATAGGGGTTACCTGTGAAGAGCAAGATTGTGATCGTTTCCAAGAATCCTACTGTGTAGTTCTAGAAGTTGGTGATTTCTCTACAGGTGCTACAGGTATTCGCTGTTTTTGTTTAGCTTTCTTAGTTTAGTTTAACCTACTTAATTAGTATGGATAAAAAATGGATGTCTTCTAATCGATTGTCAAAAGATTACAAGAATGTGGTATCAAAATTCGTTAAGTTTGCTGTTGAACACGCCAAAGACCCCAGTAGGATCACATGTCCTTGCTTAGGTTGCTGTTATGGGCGTCGGATTGATGCACTTCAGTTGGAATCTCATTTAATGAGACATGGAATTGATCTAAGTTATACATGTTGGACATTACATGGTGAGATAAGTAACGAGAACGTCGAACCGGGGGATAATACGACGTATGCTTCAAATGACAATGGCAGGGATACATATGATTGTGATCGAGTCGAAGAGATTGCAGAAGCACTTGAAGAAGATCTTTAGGATTGTCCCAAGATGTTTGAGAGGTTGGTAAGCGATGCAGAGAAACCGTTTTATAAAGGTTGCACTACTTTCACAAGATTGTCTGCGATATTAAAGTTGTACAACTTAAAGGCGGGTAATGGATGGTCGGATAAAAGTTTCACAGAGTTATTAGCCCTTATGAAAGAGATGCTTCCGGAGGATAATGTTCTTCCCAATTGAACCTATGAAGCTAAAAAAATGTTATGCTCTATTGGCATGAGCTATGATAAGATACATGCTTGTCCAAATAATTGCATTTTGTTTCGAAATGAATATGCATCATTAAACGAGTGTCCTAAATGCGGTGTATCTCGGTATAAGAAAAAATTGTCACCAGCAAAAGTCTTATGGTATTTTCCTATAATTCCGAGATTTAGACGCATGTTTCATAGTGAAACAGATGTGAAACACTTGACTTGGCATGCAGATGATAGAATTATAGATGGGAAGTATCGACATCCGACAGATTCACCACAGTGGATGAAAATTGATAATGAGTATCCTGATTTTGGAGAAGAAGCTAGAAACTTTTGCTTGGCATTATCAACTGATGGAATGAATCCGCATGGTCTAAAAAGTATCTCATATTCCACATGGCCTATAATTATTATGATTTATAACCTACCTCCATGGCTATGTATGAAGCGTAAGTACATGGTGTTATCTATGTTAATTTTTGGCCCTAAACAACCAAGGAATGACATAGACGTATACTTGATACCTTTAATCGAAGACATAAAGAGTTTGTGGGAGAACGGTGTGGAGGTCTATGATGGATATCGAAAAGAAAGTTTTAATTTGAGGGCGATGTTGTTTGGCACAATTAATGATTTTCCAGCATACAGAAATCTACCGGGGTATAACATTAAAGGTCAATATACGTGTTCTATCTGTGAAGAAAACACAGATTGGACGCGATTGGAATTTGGTCAGAAGAATGTCTTTCTTGGTCATCGTAGATTCTTAAATTCTAATCATCACTACCGTGGATGGAGAAAAGCATTCAATGGAAACTCAGAACAAGGTAGAGTTCCACCTACATTGACTGACGAACAAATTTTTGAAAAGGTGAAAGATGTGAGTACTAAGTTTGACAAGCCTTTTGCTCATACGCTTGTCATGCGTGGGTGGAAGAAGAGGTCAATTTTGTTTGAGTTGCCGTGTTGGAAGTCGTTGTATGTAAGACATTTTCTTGATGTTATGCATATTGAAAAAAATGTAATTGAAAGTGTTATTGGTACGTTACTAAATATACAAGGAAAGTCTAAGGATGACCTTAAAGCAAGAAATGACTTGGTAGCGATGGGAATAAGAAATGAATTAGGACCCTTGAAGAAAGGAAATCGAACATATCTATCACCTGCTGCTTATACTTTATCTAGAAAGGAGAAAAAGATATTGTGTAAGTTTCTAAGTGAAGTTAAAGTTTCAGAAGGATACTCTTCAGATGTTAGAAGACTTGTTTCTCTG